GTGTCTGTGGAGGGGGGTGTCTGTGGAGAGGGGGAGGTGTGTGGAGAGGGGGTGTCTGTGGAGAGGGGTGTCTGTGGAGACCCATGTGAGCTGGGCCTCTGTTCCCTTGCTTGTGCGGTGCCTGTTGTGATGTGCTGGGTTCCTGAGTGTGAAAAACTATCATTTTCCAGTTTGTATTTCCTTGGTACATATTTTAAAAACAACACAGTCATTGACTTTCCAATTCAGTAATAAAGTTTGGCAAAGCCTATTTTGTAAACAAGTTAATTTTATAATGTAAAAAAAAGTTAATCTAACCTTGACTTGTTATTTGCACTTTCATAGTCTATACTTGATACATTCCCACTTTATATACAGTAGGATTCTACAGACCTGTAGATGTTTGGCCAAATGAATGCTGTTAATAATATGTAAAATTCTTTGATTAAACATTTATTACTTAAACTATTTCCATTTTGTCTCATTAAATCATAAACTTCATTTTAAACTAATTAGGAAGCAAATTTTGCTTTATATTAAAGACCCTCCAATAGGATGGTATTTATTTGGTTCTGCCATTATAATTGATTAGTGCCTAATATTTTTACAGTAGCCCATTTGCTGAAGATTGTATACCCCAAAGATAAATTTGATTTTGTTCTCTGATAATGTATTAAAATTACGGAATTAGATAAACTTGATTTCATTATATGACAATGTATTAAAATTATAAATTCAGTGCTCATTTTCATTTCTCTAGCTTTATGAGGAAAATGTTATTATTTCCTTGAAATAATAGAAACACAGAGAAAAAGTACTATCTGTTTTGTGACACTGGAAGGAAGAAATGTATACCATGTGAATAAAATGTTGTGCTTCTCAGCACCTCATCTCTGGCTTCCGGTGAGCACAGCCCGTGGCGTTCCACCCTCAGGGACATGCATCAGCTCCAGGCAACCAACTGGTACTCGCTCCTCAGGCTCTGCCACTGAGCCTTAGCATCATTGTGTGCATCTGAAGCAACTTAGAGTGTCCACATGCTGAATCCATCCTTTCAGTGTTTACTGCAGACACTAGTTGTCATTCCCTTTGGGCCCTTTGCTCTTGGGGGGCCTGCCACCCAGCTCCCAGATAAGTCACACAGAGACTTAATACTTATATAAAAAAAAAAAAAAAAAAAAAGCCTGGCCTTAGCTTGGCTTGTTTCTTGCCAGCTTTTCTTAAATTAGCCCATCTACCTTTTGCTTCTGGGCTTTTACCTTTCTCTATTTCTGTATATCTTTATTTCCTTCTTATTCCATGTCTGGCTACTTGGGTGGGTGATCGACCCCTTTTCTCGATCTTTAATCTTCCTCTCCCCAGATTTCTTCTATTTCTTCTCTCTGTCTGCCAACCCCGCCTATCCCTGCCCTGCCTAGCTATAGGCCGTTCAGCTCTATTTTAGACAGGCAAAGGAACACAGCTTCACCGAGTTAAAAAAAAATGCAACATAAAAGAATGCAATATATATTTGCATGGTTAAACAAATGTTCCACAGCATAAAAGAATATAACACTTCTTAAGTTAATGTTTCACAACAACTAGTCTCATCTTCGTTATTTTTTTCAGTCCTAGAGAACCTGTTGCCTGACCTCTTAGGAATTAAAGCCTGAGACTTACTGAAGTTCAGTTATTTTAAAATTATTACAGTTAGTTTGTCTCCAAAGAGTGAAACCTTGAAAGCTAACATTAAACCGTGGTAGGAGTTGAGACCAGTGGGGTGGGGCTGACATAATTCCCCGGGGAAAGGCTGTCCCTGCGCTCAGCTCCTCCGGCCTCTTCTCATCCCAGCCCCGCGCCGCCGGGGTCGGAGTTACCACATCTTCCCTTAGCTGCCGTTGCCTTGTCGGTTCCTAAACCTCCTCAGGACCTGTCGATGCGGTTTGGCTTCAACAAGACAAAAGTGGCTCTCCCCTGAGCTGTCTTGTGTGACGGTTGTTAGTTTCGGAGCAGGCAGTTTTCAGTTTGTCTTTGTTCAGCCCTGGGCATGGAGCCCTACAACAGCTGGTAAAGAAGATGGCTCTAGGGCGTTCACTCGTTTCTGCTCATACTTGAGCAGCGCCGACAACCGGCTGGTGGCCAGACTTCCGAAGGAACTGTTCTTCAGAGTTGTCAGTCAGGCTCTGGGCACCTCCTAGTCCCTTGTTTCACGGGTGCTGCCTGCACAGGGGCCTATCCTGCATGAGACATCAGCCTTAAATAGGTTCAGAGACAATCACAGGCGTGAACAGAACACAAAGGTAATGGCTGGAAGAAACTCGCTGTGGACTCCTTGTATGCCTGCTCATCTGCTGTGTTTTAAGACAGCTCTGAAACAGTTCCACGTCCATTCCGATCCGGAGGCCACATTACACGGGATTGCCAGCAGGTCCCACTCACCTGCTGCCCTCAGCTTCCCTCCCCATTACAGAGCCTGCTCCAAAAACAGCCGTCTCAGGGGCTGAGGGTGTCTGTCAGCCTCAGCTAGTAACAGCACAAGAGGTCCAGGCCACACTGTCCCTCATCCAGGAGGTGGAGACCCGGGAGAGAGGGGTCTAGCTGCAGGGGGGAGGCGAGGCAGCCCTCTTCTCCTGCAGCCCTTGCTCCGGGGCCTGCCGTGGTCGGCCTAGGAACAACTTGCCTGCACCAGCTCAGTGTGTGTCCAGCTAGTACCCTGAAGGACAGAGAACGGCCTTACCTGTTCTACGCGCAGGACATTCCTCACACTATGGATTCTCCAAATGCAACCGAAGCCCACTTGTGCCCGGTACCATCAGGCCCGTGTTAGCCCGTGGAACTGGTAGCATGGAGGACCGACACAAAGCTGCCTGCGTGCATCCTGCAGCCGGAGCTCTTTGCCTCTGCCCGAGACGAGGACAGTGTAACTTAACTATCTTGTAAAGACAAAAGGAAGTCCTAGACCTGAGAGTTTGGGCAGGAACAAGATGCTGAAGATTTTCCAGAAAGGAAACTGAGTCAGAAAGAATGTAACCATGGACGTTTACGAGTCCTGGGGTATGTAAGAACGTTCTCACCCAGGTGATAGGGGTGAGGTGAAGAATGAAGAACTGTGGGATTCCAAGGTCCTACCTGTTACTGTTTAGAGCAGTAGTTCTC